ATAATAACTGTTTTCACCATTTCAATGATGTGGGGATTATTGGTAAGAGCAAAGTGATGTTATTTTAATATATTGGATCTACCCTTTGAAAATCGATTGGATTTGCAAGGATATAGTGTGAATAGTAAATCATTTGCAAATTGAGTGATGTAAAAGTGGAACCTATTTTTTAAGATGGGAGAGATTTGTAAGAATAATGTTAGCCTTACGTGGTCTAGATCTAAGCAATTATGGGTGTCTAGTCCATTAACAAATAGCCACATTAGTTGTTTATCAACGAAAATAGTTGATTGTTGTTAGAGTTAATTCTAGCAATGGTCCTCCGACTATAGTGATTTTCTAAAATTAGTCCCTGACTTTTAATTTGGACACTTTAGGTCCCTTGATTTTCAATTTCTTTCCAATTGAGGTCATTTCATTTGAATACGGTTCATTAGACTTTAAATGAAAGGGTAAACTCGTCCTTTCACCTGCCTATGTATTATTCTTCGTATTTCTCCCTTCGTATTTTGCTGTTATACCTTGTAAACATCTCAATAATAGAGGAACGCACACACGAGTAGTCGACTAAGATTATCTTCATATATATCGCGTATACAATGGAGAAATACTAAGAATAATACATAGGCAGGTGAAATGATGAGTTTACCCCTTCATTTAAATTTCAATTAACCGTATTCTGACGAAAGGACCTCAATTGGAAAGAAATTGAAAGTCAAGGGACCTAAAGTGTTCAAATTAAAAGTCAAAGGACTAATTTTGAAAAATCAATATAGTCAGAGGACCATTGCTGGAATTAACTCATTGTTGTTAGTTGTTTATAAAAATAACAAATAAAAATTTTTATATTTTAAGGAGACAAGACAATTTTATGTAATTTTTAAACCCTAAATTATTATGTGTATTTTTTAATACTCTCAGGCATATATATATAAATAAAAGCTCACGAGTTCAAATCAAATACATCCAAAATAATACTAGGAGGAATCAAGTACACCATTCCATATACGGCATGATTTGAAAAGACCATCCCATCCATACATAATATTTTTAATTTTTATTTTAAAAAAAATTTCAAACTCTCATAGAAAACTTGAGAATATGCTCCCACATGCCAATAAATATTACTCTCATTCCACTCTGGAGCTTTAATAACATTCTTACAAACTTGAAGATCCCCACTCGGATTCAAAACAATATTAATGGCACTCTTTTTTTCTTGACTTGTATAAATAATCTTCTTTTCCTGAGTTACTAAATCTATAGAAATTAGATCCGGCCCGTTCTTGAAAAAAGGAACATCACTATCTTGAATATCTTCAATCTCACCATTCATGAAGTAGTCATTCATGAAGTAGTCCGGATTCAAATAGCTCACAAGCATTAGTAAATGGCCACTTGGATTCCAAATTCCTACTGGCATCCACTGTTCACCCATGCTAGTGACGAGTATCCTTGTTTGTTTATGCCAATTAAAAATATTATTATTTTCCTCCATTAACCAAATGTCAAAATAAACCTTACCCTGTTCATCGGGGGGAAAAATGGGTTGACTAACACACACAATGGTCTCATTCGTAAACGTAACGAAATTAATATTCAATTCAAATGGAGTATTAATCATACCAAAAACCTCATCATCCATGTCAAACCAAATCAATCCAGACAAACCGTACCAATAGTATTTTCCTTTGAAATAAAAATCACCAAAATATACAGACCTAAATAAATATTTAGGAGCTTGTGGATCAGCATCAATTTGCCTCCAATTCCATGAATCGTCTACTTGGCTACAAACCATTACAATTTCATAACTATCATCACAATCCGACTTTACATCTTCAAAACTCAAAAGCATGATAACTTTCCCGACCATGTTGTTAGTCAACCCAAATGCAAACCGCATACCTAGAACAACTTCGATAGGTGGTTTGTTAGGCACCTTAATTGAAGGTAAGGCCATAATTTCCATAATGGATGGATTCAATATGAAAACATCAACAGTCGAATCACCATTAATTTCATTTATAGCATCCTTACAAACAAATAGGCATAGCATACCATCACAACACTTGATGTATCTTAATAATCTTGAATTTGGCATGTCTAGGTATATGCATCTAGTCTCATTAGACTCTAAATCTTTGTAGACCAAGTAAAATAGCACACTTTCACCATCGGCAGAATTAAACTCTATAACAGCACCACCAGTTTTAGTTCGACTAAATTCAAAGTGTTTTTGAATGAATTGATGATCGTTTTTAATTAAATTATAGAAAAATTTACAAACACGTTTCAACCGCATAAGAGATCTTACGGACAATCTGGTCAAAATATTAATCAACAGATCGCTTGGTAATTCGCAGTTTTCCATTTCTGATTGATATTCCAGATAGAAAATTTGAAATGTCAAATGATTCAATCCTCAAATCAATAACTTATTGAAAGATCCAAAACTCTACCATCCACCCAATTCAAAATTGAAGCGAGCAATAGAGGAATGATGTACCTTCCGTCGTGACGTTTGACGGTTTGAGTGAGACGCAGAAACAGAGACGACTGAGAAGCAAGGGTAGGGCCATAGGGTGTGAGGGCTTGACCGCCGCCGGAGGGCAGAGACGCAGAGGACCGTGGACAAGAACGTCGGCTTAAAGCGAGAGAGACGACAGATGAGGAAGACGAAGGGTTAGTACTGGGTAGATTATGGTTTGGGTTGTTATTTATACCTAGGTCGGATGGGCTGTTGCCTGTTCGTTTGGGTTGCCTTTAACTTTTGTGTGTGGGCCGAGTTGATTATATATATATATATATATATATATATATATATATATATATATATATATATATATATATATATATATATATATAATATGTGCAATAAATAAGTTTATTTATTGATTTGTTGTGTGTTTGTTACGGAGTATAATTTATGTATAAGATTATATTGAATAATCTTATACATATATATACTATATACTATACTAATAATAGCTAAAAATGAGGGTTACATTTTTTAATCAAATGGATCATTCAGATTGATCAGATTTTAATTTTTTCTTTTTTATTAGTTCACTGTTAACTTACTCATTGATTTCAATAAGAAATGTCTTAGGTTTGAATCTCATCTCAATCAAAGTTGGCATAATTAGTACTCTATTATACTTTTATTAAATTAAATAATAATTTAGTAGCTACAACAAAAAATAATAAATATGCATTTCTTTAATTTAAAATTATTTGTCTATAATGCCTTTATTCAAAAAAAAAAATTATTCATTATCAATAAATTAAATAAGATAAATAATTTCATTAGTTATATTCTCTTTATTTTTTTCAATGTAATTTTTTTTTTTACATTCAAATTCATCAATTGATTATATTTACTACATTGTCTTTTTTTTTGCATTATTTTTTAATTAAATATCAATGTTATAATACAAAATAATGGTATATATTTATTTACCAAATATTTTATTAATACTATGAAATAATTAAAAATAATATAATTAGGCCAATCATATTAACTACTTGAGGGATTTGTTGACAAAAAAAAAGTATTCAAATCACACAACAAATTGGAGTGTAAAACTACTTGAGGGATTTATTTACCAGGATTTGTTGACAAAGGTCAATTATTACCTAGTTAGTAGTTTATTCATGGTGTGACACTAATAAGTATGCTAACACGTAGTATTTTATGTTTATGTGGATTTTATGTATATATAATTTTTTTTTATTATTAAATTTTTTTTATCCTTTTATTTTTAGAGTAATCACTGACCATCATGGCGACGGCCCGTGGCTAATTTCGTTGATGGATAGTAGGTTCTCAAACCTCAATGCTCGCCTTTGTTCCTCTCATATGAAGGCAGGCACAACAACCACCTCTACTAGACCTATACAACTGTCATGTTAGGCTGAGATTATCTCAGTCAATATGCCCATTTGCAAAATGATGTGGCATTTGCCACAACATTTATATATTTTTGTTGGGTAAAGGGATTTGCAAATTTGTTGCAGCAACTTTTGTACTTTTAAAACAAAATCATTACTTTTTAGGCACTTTAGAGTGGTCCGGTACATCAAAGGCACTTTAGACTACGGTTTACGACTCTCAGTTTCCCCTTCTTCCACTGTTCATGCTTTTTCAGATTCGGATTGGGCCGGTTGCCCACTCGATAGGAAGAGCACGAGTGGCTATATGCTGTCTTCCTAGGGACCAATCTCATCTCTTGACTTTCTCGGAAACATCGCACTGTGGCTTGCTCGTCGACTGAGGCCGAGTACAAGGCCCTATCAGTTGTCTCGACAGAGGTCACTTGTGTGGTCTCATTACTACGTGAACTTGGTCTACACTCTGGCGAACCGTCTACTCTCTGGTGTGACAACCTAGGTGCCACTTATCTCTGCGTCAATCCTGTCTTTCACACCAGAACCAAACATGTCGAGATCGACTTCCACTTTGTTCGGGACAAAGTTGCCTCTAGCAACTTGGTGGTTAACTTTGTGTCTACGAAAGATCAGCTGACAGATATCTTCACCAAACCTTTGTCTGGGTCGCGGTTTGCAACTCTACGTGACAAGCTCAATGTTGTGGCTCACCAAACACCCCCTTTATTCGTAGTAATTCATTTCTCATGGAATTGCAATTCCTTTCTCACGTAATTCCCTCTCTCCAACCAAACACCCCCGCTCCCGTTATAGCAGCAGAGGGGACTTTGTCACCTACTTCATACCACGACCACCTGATCGGAGACTCCCGACCCACTGTCGTTGGATCTCGAGTCCAAGTGCTTGTAGTCCATACCATACAATTTGTACTATCAAAGCTGTTATAAAAAATAATTAATCAAATACACATATTAATCATTTAACCAAATCAAATAACTAATAGTGATCAAATAAACCAAAATTAGATAATAAGCTAATTATGTTACCAAACAAGTACATAATCTCTAAATACTAATAATAAGTTATAACGCATGGCATGGAGCTTCAGCTTAAATAATTTGCACCCCAAAAAGCATAAACCCGGCCGGTTTCGCAGCCTTATTTCTCAATTCCATTTCTACCCCTTCTCTTCCTTCCTCATCACCCTTGTCAACACTGCCCTTTCCCGTCTTTATCTCAACCCCATTGTCACTGTTATTTTCGCCCTCGTCGGAGTGGTCAGTATATTCCACATCTATGACGCAAATGGACCGGGTTTCCGGTCCACTAATATTATCCTTGTATTCGTAGACCGAGAATATCACAACGTCTCGCGGCTTGATTCCTTTGTCTTTCACGAACCGGTTCCAACCCCGTGTGAACACGAAGCTCTGGCTGCTCTTCCAGTAACAGTACCGGAACTTCCACGACCGCATTGCCTTGTCGTAGAACACGAGTTCCACGTCGTCGGCGCCGCAGCCGTCCGCCGCCGCCTCGAGAGTCCGGGGGAAGAATTTCACGGCGTGTTTCTTCGGGATCACCAGCCGGTTCAGTTTCCCGACGTCACTCGGAGTCAGCTCCTTCTTGAAGAGCTCTCGCAGAACCGAACCGGGTTCGTCTCCGGCCCGGGGTGAGATTCCGACGGGTTGGCCGGTGAGGGCGAGGTGTTTGCAGTGGTCGGAGAATTTCGGGACGTAGGATCCGTCCTTGATCATCTTGAGGATTTCTCCGGTGGAGAATTGGGCCTGGAAAGAGGGCTCTTGGAGGGTGATGCTGGTCCAGGGGAAGTTACGGTGGGCGTCGCCGCACCGGAGCCGTATGGCGGCGCTGTCGTACGCCGCCGCCGCGTCCTCCTCCGTCCTGAACGTCCCCAGCCATATCCTCTGGTGGTTTGCGTAAATCTGGGCTCCCCAGTTGCCGCTTTGTTGCCCCACGACGCCTTTGAACCTCGACGAGCCGACGTTGACGGCGGCGTTCGCCTCCGGCCTCTGCCGCTTCTGACGGCGGTGTTGCTCATTGGAGCTGCCGGAATCGGAGGCTTCCACCGTCGTCACGTTCGTCGTGCCACTCGCCACCATTTCCTCCACTGTCAAATCTTGTGTACGTGGAAACAAATTAAAACAAAACAATTTTGTAATCATTTTTGTTTTTCTTTCTTTCTTTCTTCTACTCGACAAATTCTATAAAAATTACGAGAGATTATGTTTGTACCTGGGAGACCAAGTTGAAGCTTTGGGTCCATCATGCGCAGATACAAAACCTTCCAACAAGCTGGTTTTCAAATCTTCATATATTGTGAGAGATTGAATATCAACAACCAAAAATAATTTCTTTTATTTGAGTAATTATTCCATGTTTATATAAATCAATTCGTAATTTATATAATTTTCCTAAATTTCATATGGAAGTCCCCTTCCATATATATCCCATTCTTTAATCTTTTACCCAGTACCATACCCAAAGTAATTATTTCACTAATAAAATTTTCCTTTTATTTCAACATATACAAAATATATATTTTTTCTTCTTAAAAGTAGTGATTATACTTTTATTGGTAATTATTTTAGGAAAATTCTATGTTTCCTCCACAAAAATTGTTCTCTAATATTCACTCGTTATTATTGTATTTAATATTTAATATTTTATTATTACAGCTTCTGAAATGCATCTTTCCATGGTTTTGAACTTCCTTACACTACTGTATGTATATATGTTCTTCTTGCATGCACTGAAATATATATGTATTCACGATTAACTTTGTGACCTTGCATGTTTAATATTATGGGAAAAAAACGCTGTATACGTGTTTGATTTCATAGCATTATTAACATTTGAATGTGTGTAGATGAGTTTGAGCATCAAAACTGACTATATTTGAATAATACAACCAAATTATATAATAAGGGAATAATTTATCAAAATTGACTATATTTGAATATGTTAAGATTTGTAGATTTTATATTCGCACTGATGTGTATCTTTCCAGTCCTCACTCATAAGATAAGTACGTAATTTGAATAAATAAAAATTTAAAAGTAATATTCTTTCCTACTAAAATCACTACATTATATTTACTCCCTTTTTTTTGGTAGGAATTATATTTACTCCCTAACATTTCATAAAATCTTTTATTTTTATTGACTACTTGTGAATTAGTCAATCTCATTAGCAAAGTTGTCAAAACGGGTTGGCAGAATGGAGCCGTTCAGGCCCGCCATATGGTGAGGCAGGCTAAAAAGCCCACCAATACGGGCTTAAAATAGACCACCTCGCCTTAGGCCCGTAGGCCTTGGTGAGGCCCACCAAGCCCGACGGACTAAGTCTGTTTTGACTTCTCTACTCACTAGAAGCTAATATAAAATAAATAATTAATGTAATAATAAAATATTAAATACAATAATAACGAGTGAATATTAGAGAACAATTTTTGTGGAGGAAACATACAACTTTCCCAAAATAATTACCAAGTATAATCACTACTTAGCTTTTAAGAAAAAAAAAATATATTTTGTATATGTTGAAATAAAAGGAAAATTTGACTAGTGAAATAATTATTTTTGGTATGGCACTGGGTAAAAGATGAATGAGATATATATGGAAGATGATTCTGCTGGCAAATGAAACTTCCATATTTATATATAAATCATGGAATAATTACTAAAATAAAATAAATTATTTTTGTTCGTTGATATTCAATCTCTCACAATATATGAAGACTTGAAAACCAGCTTGTTGGACCCTAAGGTTTTGTATCTGCGCATGATGGACCCAAAGATTCAACTTGGTCTCCCAAGTACAAACAAAATCTCTCGTACCTTTCATTGAATTTTTATAGAAGTTGTCCAGTAGAAGAAAGAAAAAGGAAAGAAAAACAAAAAAACGAATATGATGTATGAATGTTTTTGTTGACTTACATTTTTTTGTTTGTTTAAAACAATTATTATTATATTATTTTTTTGAATTCTAGAGTGATCAAGTTGTTAGATTTGTTGAGTCTATTATCAGTTGTGTAGCTAGTCATGTTCATCGAGATAGTAATCGTCCTGCCCACTCCCTTGTTAAGGCCGAAGGAGCTAGGGTATGATGTACTTTGTGGATGTCAATTCCCATGGGTTTTAGCCTCTGTAGGTGCTTAATTTATTAATGAATTATCATTTTCTTGCTTAAAAAAAGTTGTTAGATTTGTTAATTTGTAAATAGCTGGGCACCTACTATTTTATATTTTCAAATATAATGACTACGGTGGCAGTATGTTATAGGTATAAATTTTTATTTAAAAATAATGTTTTGTTGTGTCTATTAACAGTTGCCAATTATGTTCATTGAGATAGTAATCGCCATGCCCACTTCCTTGTTAAGGCCGAAGGAGCTATGGTATGCCATACTTGGTGGATGTTCCTATATCTTTTTTTTTTTTTAAGGAAGAACTTAATACATTAAATCACGATAAAGACAGTTTACACAAAAATTAGGGGGTGTATCAAACCACTCCCCACTACCTGACTCAGAACAAGCCTCCCTAGCAAATGTATGGGCGGCAGTGTTCCCATGTCTTTTTAGTCTTTGTACTTAATTGATTAATGAAATTGTGGTTTTCTTGCTTCAAAAAAAGTATTTCAACCCAAAGAATCTAAATCTTCACCACCAAAGCACTTTCTCAAACAATTTCAACCCAAAGAATCTAAGTCTTCACCACCAAAGTTCAAACCTATGACCATCCATTTAGAATGGTAACCGGGATGCCATCATACTACATGGTAGATTTGTTGATTTCTAAATAATTGGACACCTACTATTTTATATTTTCAAATATAACGAATGCGGCAACGGTATGTTATAGATATAAATTTTTATTTCAAAACAATTAGGGTTTTGTAAAATTAACCAAAAAAAAAAAAAGTAAACATTTGAAATTAATAAAGAGCGCACATATTGATTATTATTTTTTGAATGTTACTGACTCTATTACAATGTAGTATCCTATTTTCTCAACCTACTAAAGCACAAGGAGCCAATAACGCCTCCACTGAGATTCGAACTCACAACCTCTCATATGGGAGTCCAACCCAATGACACATATTGATTATATATCAATAATGATTATTACAATTATTGTTTGACTTAGAGTTGTCACTTGTCAGCATGGTGTTTTGTTAATTCTGTGATCAACAAAATTAAATATTATTTACCAGGACTATGTGGTCTAATGGTACCCGGATTGAACTTTCATTTGGAAGATTATAAGTTCGAGCCTCAGTGGAGACGTTATTGGTTCTTTGTGTTTCAATAGGTTGAGAAAGTATATGAATATACTACAATGTAATAGAGCCAGTAGCTTTCAAAAAAATTAAATATTATTTACATACATCTTATATAATGTTTGGAAATATTTAATATTCTTATTAAATGATTGAATATATGTTAAATCCGTATTCCATCTTTAATTAAGTAGAATTTTGTTGTATTTCAAAAAAAAAAAAAAAAAAAGTAGAATTTTGTTGTGTAGTAAATGCATTATAATAAAACTTGTGTATCATGCTGTAAGAATTGAAATTCTTACATGTGCTTGCCACACAATTGTATTTTGGTGTACTGTTCAACTGATCTATTATGCATATAGGGAGGAGTTCTGGTGCGGTAATTTGCTTAGATGCGGATGTGCGGTTTAATCTGATCCGTTGATCAAATCTAGATCAACGGCTCAAATCAATGGGGCTTCACGTAAAGTAGTCTTCACGGATAGTTCAAGTGATTTCTGAGTGAAAGTTTGCATACATCGATGGGGCTTAGACGAATTCTGTGTGCCGAGCTAGTGCGGGAGGGCTAGTCAAGGACCATAAGAGTAAATAGTTGAGGGGTTTCATAGTTAATATTAGAGCTACTAGTAGCTTCAAGGCGAAGCTATGGAATTTCAGGGAGGGTCTTTGGTTGGTTAAACATGGTGGTTGGAGAAAGGTGGTGATTGAACTTGATTCTAAGGCGGTGGTCATGGTTTTGGGTAGTGATCTGATGACTCGTCGAGATTTGGACCCCCTCATCATCGAATGTAGGAAACTAGTGAAGGGGTTGGATATGGTGCGTTTTCTCATGCATGGAGGGAAGGCAATAAATGTGCTGATAAGCTGGCAAACATTAGACAAATTAGTGCACTCCAAATCTTGAAGACCCTCCAGATTGTCTTACTGATCTCTTACGAGATGTTGGAGACGTGTTGACTCAAAAGATTGCTTAGCGAGGACTTATCTCCCTCCATCGTACCCAAAAAAAAAAAAAAAAAAAAAAAACTGATAACGTGTTAAACAAATAATACTATTCCATTGGTTTAGGGTATATTATTATAATTTTTTTTATTAGAGGATCTAATTATAGTGGGGAAATTGAAACTGTAGAACAGTTAGGGGGGCAAAATGCAATTAAATGAATCACCACGAACCGCTGCGAGGGAGCCAAAACTAGCCGCCAGCTCTTCCCTTTCGTCTCCGCTCTGAACTGCAGCTCTGTTTCGATTCTGTGTTCAATGTTACAGAGACGCTTATTTTGCACTGCTATTTCCGAAACAGCTTTCCGGCCAAACTCCGGCGGTAGCAACTACGGCAAATGGGGCATCAAACAAGTTACCAAGTCCAACTTCTCCGAGGCACTGAACGATATCGAGACCCGCATAACCGAGTCCGATTTCATCGCCGTGTCGTTACAGACGACCGGCGCTTACTCTTCCCCTTGGCAACGGCTGCTCCCCTTCGACACCGCCGAAATCGCTTATCTCAAAGCTAAGCGCGCTGCCGAACGGTACCAGATTCTTCAATTCGCCGTTTGCCCTTTCTCTCTCAGGGAGTCCAAACTCATTGCTTCCCCGTAAGTCATCTTCGCCGTTCAATTTATTTATTTATTGATTTTCTAGACTTCTTGAGTTCAGGTGCTTTTATTTCTATTATATGTGTTTGATTTTTTATTGTATTTCTTCAGAGAAATAGGAATTGTCAGTGATGATAGTGTTCTGTTCTGCCTCTCGCAGATACAATTTTCATTTGTTCCCAAGGGATGAGCTGAAAACAGGGATGCCTTCTTACAGTTTTTCGTGCCAATCATCGTATTTGATCTCTATTGCTCGAGAAGGTTTCGACTTTAATGCTTGCATAAATGATGGTAAGCTTAATTCTACAAAATGCATATGCTCACAACCTTAATGACTATTATTCAAATTTTACATTTTAATTCAGTATTGTATGAGCACAATTATGAAGTCTGGAAGTGCATCACTTCACATTTTGTTCACCATCTAGTTAGGAAATAATACAATTCTTCTTAGATTTGTAATTAAGTACATTGATGAATGAGGGGAAAACATGTTGGGAAATCTCAAAGTAATTCAGGAAAGTGACTGTTTTTTCGTAGGACTTTGACAGATTGGGGAAAAGATTAAGAACTCATCAGTTTAGTGGGTTCTGTCTGGCAGGCATATCATACTTATCCAGAGCACAAGAACTAGCTGCAAAAGACTGTATTAGGAGTCCATCAGCTGGCAGCTGTACAGTTCCATCTCCAGCATCCCGATCAGTTGCTGATTCTATATTTATAAACAGGATCAAATCCCGAGTTAAACATTGGAGAAATGCTTGCACTGATCAAAGCAAGAAAACTGAAGGTGATTCAAAATTGCTTTGCTTAAGATTTAAGAATGAGATTAAATACTTGTTTCTGATTCATGTTACTTAATATTTGATAGATGTTTTAATAAGTTCCTTGAGGAAAATGATCTCAGCAACCGAAGTACATGGTTCTAGGCCTTGCCTGAACATAGATATCTGCAGTGAACAGCAAGTGCAGCTTGTGCTAGAGGTACTCTTCTTCTCCCTCTGCTGATAGTTAGTGATAAACCACTAATAGTCTTCAGTGGATAAAGCATGTTTATCTGTAGTTGGGTATGTACCAGGTACTTAAACTACAGGGGATGAAACATGTTTATCCATTCAACCTTTGCTGATAGAATTTGAACTTTTGTGTCGGGTTCCAGTCACTGAAGAAGTTTGTTGATGTTGTACCTCTATTAATTCCAGCAAATGGAGGTGGGACTCAGATAGTCCGGGTTGTTTTGACAAGTTCCCAAGAAGACAAGAAGCTCCTTGAGGTAGTGAGGGAAGCTTTAGTACTTTAATAATATCTATCAATCACCTTGTGTTGTTAACTGTAACTCATTAACATGCAGAAGGAACTTCAAGAAATGGAAAATAAGCATAATAAGTGTGTTCGTGGCTTTCGAGAGGTGGTTGATCTGATTTCCTGTTCTCAGAAACCTGTGGTTGCCCACAACTCACTAAATGGTTCATCTCTTTGTGGAAAATTTTCAATCATGCTAGACTCTGCAGCTGCCAAATCTCTCTCTTTTTTTTTTTTTTTCTCTCTTTGCTGAGTGTTGCCTTTACCCATGCAGATTTTACATCTATTCATTCCAAATTCCTAGCTCCACTACCATCAACCCTGGATGAATTTAGACACTCATTGGGTCGTGTCTTCCCTCACATACTTGATGTGAAACATCTTATGAAGGAACTTGGCTCTCAGAAGAATTTGAATAATATTTATGTGGCTACATCTTACCTAAATAGCAGGTTCTTTGCCCCAGTAGATGTGGAGCTTCCCCACCAAGGCAAGTGCTCTTTTACCGAATGAATTAATTGTGTTACTCTGCAAATGCTCTTTGTTAAATGCTGTCTTACTCCATTCTCACTACAGTGAACTGGATAATACGATGCAAGCTAGCATTATCTTTTATGGTTTATACATGTTATTTTGGGGTTAATAGAACTGCAGAAGTCATTGATTCTAAGCTTGTCTTTCAGTTTATGATTAATTCCTTTGAACCAGTGCTGACTAGTGGTTAAATTACCAGCTATATCAACCAAGGCAGACAGTGTCAAGAGTCATGGCCATAATGTTTTAAAGATAAGCGAGTTGTTTGCCAAGGTGTGCTCCATTTTGAAAGTTGATCCAAAAGCTCCTGAAGCCATTGAGCACTGTGGCCAATTGCCTCCAGCTCTAGAACGCTATGCAAATATTTTTGATCCTTGCTCAACCAGTTATCAGGATCCTCCTATCAATGAAGAAGATGTCAGAGTTCGGGCAAAAAGCTGTAAAAGAGTTAGCAGTAAAAATGTGGTCTTCCTGTGGGGGTTCCAGAGTGGGATTTCCACTGGACAGGTGAAAAGCCTTGTATATGGTAAACACGAAGTCTTCTCGAGTGAATTTGACATTCGATTGGTGGATGAGAGTTGTGCAGTACTTGTTTTTTCGAGTCCTGGTTTGTCTGAAGTTCTCTTGGAGGCATTGGATTCTGGTTCTTTGGAAGAGATGGTCTCTGAAGGCATTAGAGCTGCTAGTTATGATGCATATGTAAAAGTGTGCAAGTTAGGGTTATGGAAAGCAAACCTGGCTGATTCTTTAGAACTGGCTTTGGAAGAAGAATCTGAATGTCTTTCAGAAGCTCACACTGCAAAGGATCTCTCAGTGATACATTGGAATAGTGATGAAATGATCAGTCTAGATGACCTGTAAACCTTCGCTTTATATTTTTTCAACATCTGTATTTGCAAGTGCCATTTAAATATTTAATCCTTTTCCCTACCATATTTGCTTCTCTACATGATTATCAAATCATAATTTATTTTTTAAAAATTCACAATTTGTATACTACGAATAGTCGAACACAACTGTTTTAAAAATATATATATTAACATTGCGTGTTCGACTACTCGTAATATACAAATTGTGAACATTTGGATCTGATTCACTTTACAAGGTGAACCTTCCCCCGGAATCACGTACCAAAAAAAACCAGATCCTCGCTGCCAAATTTATCACTTTTGTAAGCTTCAATTATTATTGTGTGGATCATGGTCTGCACAAATTATATGAGCCTTATTTTGTATACTGTAAACTAATGTATATTCAATACAAAAATAATGTACATTGTATTTAGAGGATATACATTATTTTTGTTTTGAGTGTACATTATATTGTATAATGTATATATAATACAAAAATAATGTATATTTAGTATATTAAAAATGTATTTTTTATTATGGTGCACCTAACATTGTGCGACTATTTTGCCGGTAGGCTTAGAATCTAAGTCCGTTTTGGAAATGGAAGTTTGACTGAAATGCGTGATTTAAGATCCTCGCCAAGTCGCCATCTTCATCGTTCGTAGCGACTGAGTTGATTGAGAGAGGGATTAGTGGTGCAGATTACACTGATAGGAAATGGCGGCGATTACTTTCGACTACATGCCTAGAGTCAAACATAACAGTAATGGCGTCCATTTGGTTCCGAGAAATAAGAATCTACGGCATTGTCTTGTACGCTCGAATTCAAACTTGTTTGGGCACAAACTTGCTGCCGGTTATGAACCGCTCTCATTTTCGGCTTCAACCGAGAAAGCTCGGAGGAGTGGATACGTGCCGCCGCTTCGTGTTGCCGGTTCGAAGCAGAGTTCCGCGTCCTGCTCCTTCGATGTTGTGATAATCGGTGCCGGAATCATCGGTTTGTCCATCGCGCGCCACTTCCTTCTCGGATCGGATCTCTCCGTTGCCGTGATTGATGCCGCTGTGCCTTGCTCCGGCGCTACTGGGGCAGGTAATGCATACGTCTTTGCTGCTTTTTCCCCCCTATCTATGATTTTCGCTCCGAATTTGCAAGGTTCACACGAGTGGGGAAAATAAACGTAGCTCTCACTTCTCACAATCTATACAGTGTAGTGCCGTTTTAGCACCTATAGTTGATGGTTTGAAAGATAATCGTTTCATTTATATCGCACTTTGATTCTACTTAACACTGAACTGTGTTGGCTGCTTCATTTATACTTATTGCATCAAGTTCTCAAGGAAAATATCACCTATTATGTAATTGCTTTGGTAACCTTTGAGATCTTTGCTGTAAAATTTGTGAAACTTTTTTTTTTTTTTTTGAGGTTGTAGAAAATACATATAAAACTATTATTTTCGTATCCCTCCGAATAAAACGGACCTCTCTGGACCTAGCTTATGATTCAAAGTATGCATTTCCACTCCCTTTCCCTAAAGTCTGATTGGTTGTAGGATGTCTTTTCATTCTATTTGGCATTTGAGCCGGTTCTAGGGCAAGGCTACGTGTGGAAAATTAACAAAGTACCGGAGAGTGATAAATGGGAACTGGTAATGAGAAGCCATCAACTTTGGGAGATCCTTGCCAAGAACATTGAACTTGAAGGCATGGATCCTTCAGAGATATTTGGATGGAAGAAGACAGGTGCTTTGCTATCTTGATATGTATAAGTGGTATAACTGCTATAAGCTTTGCAATTACTATCCATCCCACAAATCTGAGAGGTATTATTATCATCAGGAAGCTTGTTAATTGGTAGAACTTCTGAGGAATCCTCTATCTTGAGAAGGAAGATCAAGCAGCTATCTGATGCGGGTGTCAGAGCAGAATTCTTGACAAGAAATGACTTGCTCTCTGAAGAACCTGCACTTCTGCTTGAAAAGGAAGGCGGAGCAGCATATGTACCGGATGACTGCCAATTGGATGCTCGACGTGCGGTTGCATTTATTGAGAAGGTTTATTTGATTCTCTTTTCTATTTAGAACTAGCTTATTTACCTCTAAAATAGTTTCAGTTGTTTGCAAATATTTCTAGATCTCTTGCTTTGTTTAATGCATTTAGGTGTTATATACAATGTGCAGGGTAATAGGGTTTTTGCTGCAGAAGGTAGATATGCAGAGTTCTATCATGAGCCTGCTACTTCCTTATTAAGGTTTGACAGCTTCACTTTTTAGTTTGTTAAAAATTTATATCAAATCCAAGAGATTAATAAGTTGGTGTGTTGCTTGTAAATTTTAGGTCTGCTAACACCGGGGAAGTTGAAGCAGTTCAGACTTCCAAGACCATTTTGCATAGTAAGAAGGCTGTTATACTTGCAGCCGGTTGTTGGAGTGGTTCTTTGATACATGATCTGATTAAGCATCACAATATTGAAGTGGATCTCCCTGTCAAGCCTCGAAAGGTATTATCCTATAGTGAAGGACATTGCTGTTGAATAGGCATCCCTGCTGAGTGATACTTCATATCCACTTCCTTCCCATCTCAATTCATGTGCTCAGAGTAACTAATGCTTTAACAATTAACAATATACACATTCCTCCAATCTCGCATAAGAGACATCTTATGCTTAATGTTTAGAGAGTGCATATTATGCCCTAGAGCATTATTCTGATGAAAAGCATGATTACTTGTAGAATTGAGAAATAGCTATCCTGAGTGCAACCTCTCAAATTTGCAGTGTATTAGTATTCTGTATATGATGTTAAACTTCTTCTCTTGTCTGTATAATAACAGGGTCACCTACTTGTGATAGAGAACTTTAAGCCCTTTAAGCTGAATCATGGTCTTATGGAGGCTGGGTATGTCAACCATCAATCTGCTATTCTGAAATCTGCACCTAATTCAGGATCCATTTATGATGCACAATGTACATCCGTCTCAATGACAGCCACTATGGACACGTCTGGTGGTCTTGTTCTTGGTATGTATTCAGTCCCCAAAGACTCTGAAAACAGTGTAGAAATGGCTGATGGATATGGCCAAGAGAAAGGATGACATGACAAATTTTCACACTTATTAATTCTCTCTCTCTTTATTCCTGATTTAGTATTTGGGGAGAAATTATTATTTAGCCTCTTTTGTTTATACATAAGTTATGGTGTCAGGTAGCAGCCGACAACTTGTTGGCTTTAGCACTGAGGTGGATGAATCTATCATCGACCGGATATGGGAGCGGGCTGGAGAGTTTTTTCCTTTGCTGAGAAAAGAATCTCTAATAGATCTGCAACAAAACAGAGAAGTGAGAGTGGGACTGAGACCCTACTGTAAGTATAAACACTAGGAATTTCATCTTAATAAAGATCACTTGTGTAGTAATGCTGATTGGAAATTGTGTTAAACTGTCCAAGTGCCTGATGGGAAGCCGGCGATTGGACCTGTACCTGGATTCTCAAATCTGTTTGTGGCAGCTGGCCATGAAGGAGAAGGACTTACACTGGTAATCCTGTACTTCTCTTAACTGAATTAAAACTTACAAAATGAGCAATTCCTGTGGGGTTTTATATCAAGCCGGTTAAGCCATAGCTTTTAGGTCTACAGCTTTTCCTGATGCCAATTCCTTATAAATTTTCTAGGCTCCCGGAACTGCTGAAATGATTGTTGATATGGTGCTGGGGAATCCTTGGAAAGTTGATCCAGCTCCATTTGCTGTGCAAGCTCGTTTTCATTCATGAATTTGCACTGCAGAGTTTTCAAAGGTTGTATCTCATGGTCACAACACATTTTTATGAGTTGTTATATCTTTCTCCTTAATAAACCTCAAACATTCTCAAATGAAAGACTATTTTGTTAGGAATCTATACAAATTAGACTTCCACTTTGCATATCTGTTCTGTAAAACAACCAACTGATATAATTTAGATTTATTTAGGATCATAATGGCTTCCTTCTCTGTCCTTCCCGGCTACCATTATCAGGATTTTTTTATAAGGTAGTATATGTTCTATACTTTTTCTATCTCTTATAGTCTAAAGAGTCAATACCCTACCCCAGGAGTTCAATTTTGGGACCTTCTTTGAGCTTTGGTTTTATTAAATAAATAATTTTTTCAAATTCAAATTTTATTTTATTGATGTCAACGCCAGATTTATACACCCATATACCTACGGCAGGAGGAAAATACATAAAATAGTTGGGCTGAGCCGCTCGCCTTTCCAGTTTTTGAATTCTAGGCTTCCTGTTGGCCGCCGGCAGCGGCGGCGGCATCGGGGCCACTAGCACGGCTAACATATACGGTGATGGACACAAAAACGTAGATGATTATTCCGGTCAACGACAACGGGATCAAGAACGCAACACTCACAAGGGTGGACGCAGCCATGCAAGAAAGCACTCCCAGCCTCAACTCGACCACATACACCACAGACACCAGCAAGAACAAGCACCCCACCATCGACGACATCGCCGAGAAGAGGACTCCCGTCGTCAACCAAAACGACGACTCCGGGGAGCCATCATCCTCTCCGGCGGCCTGGAGATCCAGCGACAGCTTGGTCGAGAGGGCGACGAGGGAGGATAAGAGGTAGAAGCTGAAGGAGATGATCTCGAAGACGACGAGCATCTTGGCGGTGTTGGCTCCCGGCTGGCACTCCTCCCGGACGTTAAGGCTCTGCAACTCCTCCGGCGAGACCAGATCATAATCCAGCCCCAAAAACATGGCAATGGTGAACAGTGAGTTCACATCCACCACACTGTCCAGTGCCGTCACGTGCACGTTCTTCTTGGTAGGATGGCCTTTTCTGCATCCATGCAAACCATTAAGGAGAAAACCGATCAATTAAACATTATTATTTGCAAATGAATTAGCCATCAGTCTATAGATGTTATTTAGTGTTTAGAAACATATTTGATGCACGGTAGTATAATGTTACGAAAGGTGCACTTGATATTCTCCCGTATAATATAATATAATAAATTTGTCTGCATTATAAAAGAATGGGAATTTAATTTACGTTTTAGTAGCGGACGATGAGTGTGGATTGGGCATGGCTACGCTACCTGGTGATAGTGAGGGGATGTGATCGAGATAGGTGTGTAGAATATGGTAATGTAATTTTGTTTTGGGGGATTTTATTTGTGGTTGTAATGTTCCAAATTCCAATATCTTCCTACGACGTAAAGTATAATATTTTGCTTTGCCATATAAAGGGACGTACGGGATTTTACAGATGGTAGTTAAAGCCGGAAGCATGGAATAACAATAGTTATTGTGTGGACCACGGTTTAAAAGCGATATCATTTTGTGTAAATTGTTTTTTTACGCGATCCATTGCAACATACATTTTTATAATTTATAATGTACATTATTTTAACTCATAAAGTACATTATCTTACCTTAGAAGTTTCATTATTCTAACACATAAAATTCAACGACTTCGTTTTGAACTGTGGTCCACACAATAATTTGTCCTGGAAAAACGTAACGATTCTAATGTTATAAAATACAACTCGGAAGCCTGCATTTGGGCTTTTAGTTTTGCCCTGTGCAATGCTTATACCGCGGACCATGATTCACGTGGCAAGGAGAATCATTGATACAAGTTCGTTTTTATTATATTGTAATTTCATTTTTTTGTGTTACATGTTTATTTTGATTTGTAATACACCAAAAAAGAACTTGTATCAAAGTATATTGAATTTAGTAAAAATAAATATGTAAGTCTAGAAAACATATAACATGTTAAAAATGAACATGTATCGATGTCTACTTCACAAGATGCATGAATTCCAAAGTGAACGATATAATTTACACTAGTATTTTTTGGGCATATGGCAAATCTAGTTGGGTCTTATAGGCGGCTACCCAACAACTCAATAATTTTGAAAGGGTAAAATTGTAAAAAGTTCATTAGGTTCTTAAAATATTAGCGATATGTGTAAATATTCGCAAATTATGCTGTGAACATTGTGGACACGAGTCCAAAACGACGTTGTTTTTAGGGAAACGTGACATTTCAGTTTAAAAAAAAAATTGATTTTGTCTCGCCGTTAACGACGTTATTCGTTTATGGAATTATGAATGTACAGTTATGGAATTATGAACACAGAGCTCTGACATTATGAACTTACAATTATGAACATATAGTGATAAAATTATGAACATAGAGTTTCGAAAATTATGAATTTACAGTTATTGAATTATGAATGTACATTTACGGAATTATGAATGTACAATTATGAAAATATGAATGTACATTTATGGAATTATGAACACAGAGTTCTGACATTATGAACTTACAATTATGAACATATAGTGATAAAATTATGAACATAGAGCTCTAAAATTGTGAACATAGAGCTTCGAAAAGTATGGATTTACAGTTATTGAATTATGAATGTACAGTTACAAAATTATGAATGTATAATTATGGAATTATGAACACAGAGCTCTGACATTATGAACATATAATGATAAAATTATGAACATAGAGCTCTAAAATTGTGAACATAGAGCTTCGAAAATTATGAATTTACAGTTATTGAATTATGAATGTACAGTTACGGAATTATGAATGTACAATTATGGAAGTATGAATGTACATTTATGGAATTATGAACACAGAGCTCTGACATTATGAACTTACAATTATGAACATATAGTGATAAAATTATGAACATAGAGCTCTAAAATTGTGAACATAGAGCTTCGAAAATTATGAATTTACAATTATTAAATTATGAATGTACAGTTACGAAATTATGAATGTACAGTTATGGAAGTATGAATGTACACTTATGAAATTATGAACACATAGCTCTGACATTATGAACTTACAATTATGAACATATAGTGATAAAATTATGAATATATGCTCATTATTCCTATGTGCAGTTCGATGACATATTTAACCCTTATTCCTATTATTTTAGTATGTCTAAACCCAATAGCCTGTTATTCATCCAGATTCCAGAATAACCGATCATTTAATGATTCGTTACTATATATTCTTCAATTGTTACTAACAACTAAGATGTCGAGAAATAAAAAGCATAATGTAAAAATCAAAATATAATAATAATAAAAATGAATATTAACTTATTATTCATCAGCCACGCACGTTAATTCGATCTCTCTCACTCTCAACCTTATTGGTTGAACCAAATTATTCACACACACACACCAAAAAAAAAAAAAAAAAACAGCCATACAAAGATGTATATAGTTGAAAAAGAAAGTATGATGAAATTAAAGAGTATATAATTATTTAAAGTTTGGAAAGCTAGGCTTCGTGTTGGCCGGCGGCGGTTTTGTCGCCGGTACGTCTAACATATCGGTTGATCGCCGCAAAAACGTAGATGAGTATTCCGGCCAACGACAAGGGGATCAAGAACGCAACGCTGACAATGGTGGCCGTGGCCATGCAAGAAAGCACTCCCAGCTTCAACTCGATCACATTCACCATAGACACCAGCAAGAAGAGGCACCCCACCACCGACGACATCGCCGAGAAGAGGACTCCCGCCGTCAACAAGTGTTCGTCGACGGCCACGCTGGAGCTCCTCTCGTTGGCGGCCTGATCGGAGGCCTGATCGGAGGAGGGCTGGAGGTTGAGGGAGAGCTTGATGGACTGGGCGACGAGGGAGGAGAAGAGGAAGAAGCTGAAGGAGAGGATCTCGAAGACGACGAGCATCTTGGCGGTTTTGGCTCCCGGCTGGCACTCTTCCCGGACGTTGAGGCTCTTCAGCTGCCCCGGCGACGCCATCGCAAGCCCCAAGAAAATGGCGATGGTGAAGAGTGAGTTCACGTTCACCACGCCGTCCAGCGCCGTCACGTGCACATCCTTCAGCTTCTTCTCATCCTGCTTTTTTCTGCATCCATTCAACCACTTAAATCAATCAATCAAACATTATATTTTACCATGCCTAATCCTAAACCCACAATCTCTATTCAAGAGTTACTAGAGGGGATCGAGCCAGCCCGGTTCATCAACCAAAAATTAAAGTTTACCCGCTATACTATAAAACGGGCTAGCCTTAGTCGGTCCGTTATAGCAAATGGATCAGACCGGACCTGCCCAAACAATCCGGGGCTGGATTGAACTTCGGGCTAACCTGTCTATTTGACACCTCTAAGCGGAGGCCCGTAAGGGCCAAGTCAGCACCATGTGCTGGATTGAACTTCGGGCTAACCTGTCTATTTGACACCTCTAAGCGGAGGCCCGTAAGGGCCAAGTCAGCACCATGTGACTAGGGGATTGTAGGACAAATGTCGATAAAAGATAAGTCTAGCACCCTAGCTCTCGAAAATGTGTAACGAGAAAATAAAGTTACCCCTTTACTATTAGCTATAACTTTTTAGCCCCGCACGGTAGTATCTGTTCATATACTTTCTCAACCTACTGAAACACAAAGAACCAATAACGCCTCCACTGAGGCTTGAACTCACAACCTTCCAGATGGAAGTCCAACCCGGATACCATTAGACCATATAGTCCTGGTAGTATTACTACCTAATATAACAAAAAATTAAACTTATTATAAAAAGGGGAATTTAACTTACTTATTTGTAGTAGAGGATGAGGGCGGTGGATTGCACATGGCTGGTGATAGTGAGGGAATATGAAATAGGTATGTAGGATATGATATGATAATATGATGATAATGTAATGTATGTTGTTTTGGGGGATTTTATTTGAGTTTGTAATGTTCCAATATCTTGGTATGACGGAAAGTATAATGTTGCTTTGCCATGTTAATGGAACAAGATACTACACAACTATAGATTTTTGTGGTTTCATGATGATATCATTTTTTGTTAAAGTTGGAAGCCTGGAATAAAGTAACAATTCCAAAGTTTCAAAATACGACACAGATTTTTCAAAAAAAAAAAAAAAAAAAAAAAAAACCAAGAAACCCACATTTGGGCTTTTGGGTTCTGCCGTGAGAATTTGGGCCTATGTCTTGTTGGGCCTAGTTTACAGCTCAACCATTTTGAAGGCAAATTATATTGTGTACCCTGCGCATTGCACCCTGGCCAAAACGACGTCGTTTTCGGTTTCTGGACTTTTAAAAGAAAATTCATATTTTGTATGTACAGAATTGTATAGTAGAATACACATAAACTCCTAACATAATACATAATACACATAAACTTAAGTGTTAAAAAAAAAAATTGTAACGGAATTGGACGGACAAAACAATGTCCATTGCGTCAACTACCCACCAACTTATAAAAACATCGTCGTTTTGGGTCATGGCGCACAATGCATTGTGTGCCCTGGTGCACGATATAACGATTGCATTTTTAAAGGGTAAAATTAACATTTGGTCCTTACGAAAGTTACAATATGAAAATAGAGTCCATCAATTACCAATCACATTTAGTACACAAATAATATACTTTTAATATATTAAAAATGTACATTATATTCAGGGAAATTATATTACTCTATATTTGAGTACTGAAAATACATTATTTTGTATAATGTACATTCAATATGCAAATAATGTACTTTTAGTATATTAAAAATGTACTTTTTGTTATGATACACACAGCATTGTGTGTGGACCATCCCAATAATTTGCCATCAATTACCAGTTACGCTCAGGGACGGAGCCAGGATTTGTTGGTGCGGGGGGCCAATATTAATTTGAGAGAGAATAACGATGAACTGAGAATAATTAACTCCATAACTTGATGGTAAAACTTCTCTACCAACTTGCAAACGTCATCAATTCTGAATGATATACACATCTCTTTTGGATCTAACGATGAACTAAGAATAATTAACTCCATTGTTTTATCATCAAACCTATATTGCTGACGTTTGCCTCCTCCTTCCAGTCAGGGAAGAGGCAACCGCCGCCTTCTTCCAACCTGGAAGGAGGCGACGTAGGCCACTTTCTAGAACGTCACCGGCGACGAGCGGGCAAAAATTAAATTAAAAAAAATATTTTTTTAATTTTTTTTTACCTGTTAACCTGTTGATTACCTGTAAATAGGTCTAATTGTACAACTTTAAAGAGTTCAAGGGTGTAATTGAACCTTTTTAATGTTTGATGGCCTAATTGCTTTTTTCATCAAAAGTTAAAGGGTTTATTTGACCCTTTTCCCTTAAAAATATCAAATTTGTAATGATGTTCAATTGTTAATTCATCTTGTTGATGCCTAGACCCCCTCTTTTTGCAATATATTGAGTATCAAAATTCGGCACAATTATGTTGACAGTTTCATAAAAAGACTTCACACTTGCAACTAATTCATCCCATCTTCTATCTCTTAAATTTTGAATAAGCAACTTAGTAGATGACACAAGATGCATTGCAATCAATAGTAAAATTGTTCATTATTATGAATATATAGTTCAAAAATTATGAACATATAGTTGTGAACATAATTATGAACATATACTTTTGTAATTATGAATATATAGATTCAATAATTGTGAATATGAAGTTCAAAAATTATGAAATATAACTTTATAATTATGAACATATAATTCAGTAATTATGAACATAGAGTTCTGTAATTATAAATATAGAGTTCAATAATTATGAATATAAAGTTATAAAATTATGAATATATAGCTTTATAATTATGAACATATAATTCAGTAATTATGAATATAGAACCGTGTTTACCTTGCAAGATGGACACAGCTCCACAGCATAACGATTAATACTTTGGTGAAGGGAGCTAAAAAAAATAATAATATACTATTAATATTTTTTTGGGGAAGGGGGGGCTAAAGGCCCAAGACACCCAGTTAATAATTCCTCTAAATTCTCCAAAGGCTTCACTCATATTAGTATTATTAAATTTTTTTTTTGGGAGGGGGGGCCAAGGCCCCTTGCACTAACAATGTGCATCCGTCCCTGGTTACGCTTTATCTATAACATTCGGTTGCGTAGAGTTGAGAGAGAGAAAGTATAGACAATTTTGCAAGGTCTCCACCTTGGAGTGTGATTTAGATTTTTATTTATTTATTTATTTATCAGAAGGGACGGGGAAAACTCGAGGGAGACTCGGAGGCTCTAGTCAATTTTCCTAACTCTACGAACTGTAGTAACCCAAGCTAGCTCATTAGTATACTCGTTATTGCAAAGAATGGAGCAGGTGCTGAAAGTCGTTCAGTTTGCATGCTGCATTGCACCAGCTGTTGCGAGGGCGTTTGCAACCCAATTCTGTTCTCTATGAATAGCACGAACGGATATTTTACATTCTTTCGCAATCCACGCCTTGGCTTCCTCGATGACTTCCCTGATATGGCCCCGAAGAGAGAAGTTCTTGTAGATCCACTCCACCACCTTCTTCCCATCAGTTTGGATTTTGTCGTCGCGAATGCCCTTGTCCCAAGCCCACTTCATGCTTAGAATAATCGCTTTGGCCTCCACTGCCTCCGGGTAGTCCACGTCCGAGCAGCATGAGAAGCCACCACTCCACATTCCTTGCTGATTTCTGAGGACCCCTCCCATGCCTGCTCTATTGATCGAAGCTTTTACACTTCCATCAACATTGATCGCATAGGGTGCGAGTTTGAGGGCTTCCATCACAGGTAGATTTTGTTGTTCAAGTGGTTAACGGAGAGTGTTGTGCCTCGAGTACCATTGTGGTATTTCAATAAGAAAGTGTTGGAACGCTAATGGGATATTCAAATAAAGCATATTTATAAGAAACAAATAATGTAATGAGTTATCTTTACCAAAATCACACTAAATTATGCTCAAGGGTTGAATGTATCCTTAGAGTTTTAGTATATAAGAATAGACATAAATTTGATTTTTGGAAAAATTAGTTTTAAAAAAGTAAATAGACTATTCTCGCAAAGGTTTAAACTTGAAATCTTGTAACTGACTAACTCGATTGGGATTATCCAGGAAATAACTATATAACAAATTTGCAACGGTAAATATTGACAACCCTTTTAACAGGTAGATTCGTGGTTTGTACTACGAATCTCTCTATGTACAAAATGGAATCAAATCACCCTGCACACAGCTTAGCTGCCAAATCCTCCATTCCAATTTCCAACAAACAACCTTCAAAATTCATAAACGAAAACCGAAAATTCCCATTTTCTTGTACAATTCCCCCATTTAAAGTCTGGAAAAATGAAAAACTGAAGAATTGAAAAGTATTTCCAGTTCAACTTAAAAGCTAGGACTCTGAAGCTTGAAGCCATACCAAATATGTATGAAATGAGACAACAATTACACAACTAAAATCTCCGAAACACTAAAACTACTCATACAAATGATCAATTAAGCTTTTAGCTGAATGGTTCAATTCAGTGCAGAAAAGCATAAATGACAGTTGAAATATAAACAAGAAGAGCAGAGGTGACCAGAACCACCAAAACCGCCACAGTATGAACAGCAGATTTGCTCCCACAAGACAGCATCCCCAGCCGGATCTCGATCACATTCACCATCGAAAGCATCAAGAACAGGCACCCCATCACCGACCCAACCGCCGACGCCACCATCCCAAGCCGAAGAACCTTGGCGTTCACATGCGCCCTGAACGCCTCGTCCGCTTCCTTGCTGTTCAGCAGATTAATGGCGAGTTTCAGGCCCTGAGCCACCAGGGAAGAGAAGAGGAAGAAGCTGAAAGAGACGACCTCGAAAACCAGGAGTTTCTTCACCACATCGATCCCCGCGTCGCAGCTGGACCGCTCTTCCAGGCTCTTCTGCCCCGGAGTGGCCAGGGAAAGCCCCACGAACACCGCCACGGTGAAGAGGGAGTTCACGTTCACCAGCCCGTCCAGCGCCGTCACGTGGACGCTGGTGGTGGACGACGACGGCGTCGAGGCGGCGGCTCTTCCGGATTGCGGCGAGGAGTAATACGGATATGCTTCAGATCTGTCAAAGTTTAAACAATCCAAGCGAAAATCAACAACGGTATGAAATTGATGAAGAAAAATGCAATAAAAGGGAAGTAATTATTACTCATCCATGGCGTCTGAACTGATTGTTGTTTGAGCTAAAAGATAATGCTCGGAGATTGTGATTGCTTCAAGGGTTTTGATGTATAAAGGAAAAGGTAGGCTAATGAAATTGAAAAAGGGGGAAACTTTTTGCTTTACACATTTGATCTCTTCTCTGTGTTCCGGAAGTAGGTGAGAGAATGGAGTCGGATTTCATGGAGCGAGAGGAACACGGAAGGGCTCAATTAGTTAGAAATCCCTATCTGACTTTGCATCAACTACATTAACCAAAATTGAGTACTCCACTACTCCTTCAATTTTATCTAAAAATAATTTCACTTCATTAATTAAACTAACACATAAAATTAGACAAATCTGAATGGAGCAAACCATTTGGCCAGTTCTCTATCACTTAGTGTGCTGACCGTTGGGACGAAAGATTAGTCCTCTGACTATCGGCTAGAGGGATACCTTTGGACAATCAAAAATAAAAAAAAATTAGACAAATGTAGTCTAAAAAATTTATGATTTAGTAGGTGGAATATGACTTTTGTATGAAAGATCAAGTTTACACATCATTAGATAATACGGAGTAATTATGATTTTTCTTCATAAAAAAGAGTATTTTCAGTGCGCCGACGGCAACTTCCTTGCGGCGAAGAATGGGCCCTTACCAACATGCTTGGGGCCGTTTATGGCGGAAGCAATGGCATGTGTGGAGGCACTCTCTTGACTACGTGGACGAGGTGTCTCGGATGTGGTTCTTCGTTCGGATTGTTCAAACCTTCGTCAGGTTCTATCAACACCATCGACTGAGTTTCGTTCATATGATGGTATAGCTGTTTCAGCATGTAAGGAGTTAATGCGTTCTTTTTCGTCTTGTTCTATTTCGTACGTGTCATGTATTTCAAATGTTTTAGCTCATTCGTTAGCTTCTGTAACCTCTCAGCAGGCAAACTTTATGGTGTGGGAGATTAATCCTCCTGCTTTCGTCTCGGCTTTGATTGCTTAATATACGTATTGTTTTTCTTTCAAAAAAAAAAAAAAAGAGTAGAGTATTTTTATATATGAGAAAAATTTACTCAATACGCACAATCTAATAATAGTTATAAGTTTCTTTAATTATCAAAAAGAAAAATTGAATAGTTTTATACCTAAAAAGAATAATCAAGTGGATAGAGTATATTTTAAATCACAAAATAATTTTTTATGTGTAATTTGTGAGCTATTCTATTATGGATAGTGTGAACAATAATAGAGACAAATGAAGGATGCAATACGTATACGCCCAAACCAACTCAATATTTGATTAAATAAATCACATTTAATAATCATATAATAAGTTTTGAATTTAAGGTTTTTTCTCTAAAAAATATGTAACTTTTTGGATCACGGATTTTTTTAATTTAATTTAATTTTTTTTTTTTTTTGAATCGTTAAAGTGGGATCATTATTGTTGTGTAGAAATAACATGGGGGTGTAGAAATAACTTGGAAAGGTCAAGGATTCGATTCTTGATTTTGGGTATGAATCAACCTTAAATTTTCAGGCTAAATGTCCCATCTAACTTTGATTATACCCAAAAAAGAAAAAAATTATTGTGTAGAAATGAATTTTTTGTTATGGTCCATACAATACACAATAAATTTCCGATAAAGTGACAAAGTCCTTGTTTTTCTCTTTTTCGATTTTGGTTGAAGTAGCGGAGTCGTTTTACTTTTGTCAATTGGTATAGGCCATATATACGTGTTAATTTGTTAAATATTAATCGGAATTCTTAAAAATTCTTGACTATTAATCATGGTTGAAAAAATCGCTAGGCGCTCAGGAGGGCCACCTAGGCGCCGGTGTATTTTTATTTTTTTTAAGACTTGATAATTATAAATTATTTAGTACTTTAATATTTAATACTAAAATATTAAATATTAACATAAAAAGGTCTTAAATTTGAACAATTTACGGTTATTTCGTTTAAAATGATGTCGTTTTGAATGAAATAACCTATTTTAAAAAGAATGTAAGCTAATGACTAAGCTCAGTGCCTAGGAGTCATAGACGGTACTTAGGCGGCCTAGTCGACCAATCGTCTAAACCACTAATTACGGCGGCCGGCCAACGCCTAGTGCCTAAGCACCGATTAATCGGGACCTAGGTGGGACTTTTGCAACACTGCTATTAATCAGACTAAAACATATTACCGAAACATTTATACGAACTGTGCGCACCCTTATTTACAAGGGATTCATTATGTGTGTTGACTAAGAATGTCAACAGAATGACACAAATAATTAACCATAATTATGGGTTTGATCAGTTAACTACATTTTCACCGAATTATACACACATTTATTTACAAGGGATTCATTTTGTATGTAAATTAAGAATGTCAACGGGATGGGACAAACAATTAACCAAAATCTAGGGTTCAGTCGGTTAACTACAATTTCACCGAATTCTGCACACCCCTATTTACAAGGGATTCATTTTGTGTGTTAATTGGGAATGTCAACCGGATGGCATGAAGTCCCGTCCCTGTTTCTCGAATTCTATCATCGTCCCTATCCCTACCGGGGCGAAGAATCATGTTTCGGGTTGAGCTTGAGTGAAATTGTCATCATTAGTGTTAGTATTGATGTGTTTAAACAAGAATGCGATAAAAATGATGTTACAATACAACCATATACATGCTTGATAATGCGTATAGGCAGAAGTTAACTATGGCTGACAAGAATTACTAAACATTTCAAAGGGAAGTTTGAGACCAAAAACCTGTGCAACAACTGAGAACCACGACACTAGATATCTGTCGACAGCCACTCCGCCTAGCGCCACTGCAGAGGCGTCGCTAGTAAATAGTAGCTTCATCCACTCACTAGTCCCGCATGGATGTAAGGTGAACCATGGTCGATTCAAGTAAGGGTGCTCCTGCAGTGATTTCAAGAATTTATCATGAACCAGTTTATGATCTGACAAACGGGGGTAAGGGGAAGGGGAAGTATCGTACAAGATGAAGCTAAATAAAGAGATTGAAATGCAAATTGTAATTGATGAACACTCAAAATGGCTCGTTAAAACTACAGGGATGAAAATAACTAGAGATAACAATGTTGAAATGAGTAACCTCCTGAGTTATAAAGGTCCATTTGGATACGTTTAGCTGCCGTAGTGTGCTTGCAGGGATGTCATTTTCCACATCGCCCAATGCCAAAGGTTGTCCATCTACGGATAAAAGAAAGAACGGTGCATTATTTCTATCCCAGCATAAAGCAAACACCAGACTTGATACTATTCATTGCAAGTAAACTTAAAATGTGCGTTTTAGAATAAGAACTTTGCCTGGACTTCAAATGATGATGGGCTTATAGTCATAATATGTTGTTACAACACTACTTCAAACCTGATCACTAGTTTGAGTTGATAATATGACATTAACAGAGAAGCACTCAAAGGGTTTTAGAGGGGTAGAATGTAATCCATAAGACCAAACGACCTACTGTTTTGAGCGCCAAATATGTAGAGAATGGAACATACCACTCCAATATGCACGGAAGTATAGCACAGGAACCCTATAAGATAAGCTGTACACAACATGGAAGTCATAGTGGCACCTTTCATGCCTGTGCTGTTCAACCTTCAAAAGAGAAACATCAGGCTGAGATGGGCCAAACCACACTAAAAGACCGAATCCAATTAATTAGCTAGTCTAACCCATGACCTTATATGTCTTATTTTTCAAGGTGAGACTCTTACAGAGGGAAATAAAAATGAAAGTTCTTACATGAAAGATAATGGATAACATAAAAGTTTAAAGGAAAATTTCCAAAACACCAGTACAAACAGAATCTACATACCAATACAGCACTATCAATTAACTCATCTTCCTCCAAGGAAACCAGCTCTTCTACTCCACCATCACCACCACATTCATGATTATCTTCCTATAGAGAAAGAGAAAATTAATGACATTACTAAAGTATCTCTGTGTGAAGTATTGCTCTCCAGAAGGTGGCTAAAAGCTAAATTAAATTAAAAGTATCAAGCACATACCATCGTAGACCTGGGAAGAATTACACCATCCATGCATAGATATCCTTCTACCTGATAAAATAACGGGAAATTAGGAAAATTCATTACATAAATATATCAAAAGTTCCAGCATGGCAGAAGCAAGCAAAATATGTATAGTGACTAACTCTGGTGGCAGGACGCTTTGGACATTTCATCCACGACCATTGAGGAAGACTTGAGCTAAACTTCTTCCACTGCTCAGCAAATGTACAAGCGGCGGCATAGAACTCTCCAAATGAGATGGTACCATCCCAGGATTTGATATCAATTATACTCTTTTCTGATGACATTACAGTCTAAATAGAACCTGACAGACAAGTCAGCACACTATCTGGATGTAATCAATGTATGATAATAAGCAATACTAATAACTAATTGTGACTATCAGCTCAAATATTCTGATGGACTTAAACTGTTCTTTCCTAGAGAAGAGGAACGCCAGAATAATTTTAAGTTTTTAACCTCGAATGCATACATAAAACATGAAAATGAACCCAAAAAAAAACTCTTCTATGAAGCAATTCATCGAACACCTAAGAGAAGCATAAACACACTGCGATTCGAAGTAGACATACATAAGCGTAGTGCATATAAAATTAAAAAGTACCGGATGGAATCAGTCCGACGGCTACCTCTCTAATTCTCCGGTGGGGCAGAGGGAAAGACAATCAATTCCGGAATCTTACGTTTTGAGTCAGATGATCGTTCGGAGAAGAACTCTGTTATGCCGTGAGTGGTAAGTACAATTAACAGCACGACGTCGTACGAGGCCGCTGCTGCCTGCTGGGCATTTAGCACGTTAATTGGGCCCGCACTCCGCGGTGATTTGTTTTATCAAGTTGGGCTGATCATATTAATTAGCTATGTCTAATTGCCCAATTGGTTTCTTAATTATTGACTTGATTAAGCTAGTTTTTTTTAGTACTACCGATTCTGTTACAAGGTAATATATGTTTATAATATTTTTTTTCAATATACTGAAGCACAAAGAGTTAATTATTGACTTGATTAAGCTAGTTAATTATTCACCAATTATTGCATGTGATGTTATTCTAAAATAGAATTGCTTTGGTTGATTCTGAAGTGCATGTGGCGTGGATGAAGAAGCTTATTCAGGCTTACACAATTGATTAGGTTACATATTTGAATTTAATTTTAAACATGTGATCATGAACTTCAACTAATGGTAGCCTAATACGTTTTGGATAAGTTTGATATAATAATATGTCTAAACTTGCAACGATAATGAGATGTTTAGTAAATAATTGTTAGTTGATTAGGTTAGTGAGTTTAAATAGTTAATATCATTAGCTGATTGTAGAAAGATGTTTGGTAAATTAACTGTTAGCTGATTACATGCAAAATAATTTTCTCAAAAAGCTTATCGGAAAAGTTCTTTTGAACAGTTTTTTGAATTTTAGCAGTTTAGAGAAATAAACTATTACAAAAAGTTAATTAATCAAAAACTTATATCGAATGTTTAAGTCAAACAACTAATAGTGGTTAAATAAGCCAAAATTGGCTGATAAGCTAACTATGTTACCACTGGGCATATTTTAACAGTTGAATGAGAAGGTGTTCCATACAAAAGACACATCATCAAAAAACAAATAAAACTAGAGAGTGCCATAATGATGAATCCAACTCTATCAGTTGGTCTTGGAGTCTGGTGAAGGAATCATGTTTAAGGCCTTCATCATGAAAGCATACGTGAAGGCAACTTCCCTGAGCTTTTCAAACCTGCACCAAGCCAATAAAATTTGCAATTAGAATGAGAGTTCCATAATGATGACTTTTTGTCACCAAATTGAATTATGCATTTCGTATTAACTACAAGGTTAAGCTAAGCTTATAATGAGGATACCATTTATCATTTTTATATATTATATGCCCAACATCAATTCAAAATACTTTTAATGGTCTGCAGAAGGGAGTAGAGCGCAGCGCAAGCTTTGAAGGGAGTTAAAATAAGATACCTTCCTGATTTTGAAAAGTGCCCAGCACTGCATTCACATTTGAACAATAGCATATTGTCATCAGTCTTCATATCTCTCAACTTAGCTACAAATTTTGCTGGTTCCGAGTAGAGAACGCGTGGATCTGTCACGATATACCAAAGCTCACATTAAATATTTAAATCCAAAGGTAAAAGTGTTTTGAACAGACCCCAATATAACATCAAATTTTCAATTCAGTGATTTCTACCAACATGCATCCACCTATCAAATAAGAACCATTTGGACAATTATATCTTTGGCAATTCTAATTCTACCACCCAAATTGAAGTTTGCAATTAACACAAGAACTACAAGCTGATATGGTAATTGAGTTCCAAGATGGTAATTGAGTTCCAAGATCCTTGGTTCAAAACATAAGATATAAAAAAATAAAAATAAAAATTTGTCTAACTATTAGATTACTGAGCATCAATGTCATGAAAAGGCGAAAAGCTGAAGAGCTGATTTTATACTCAAAATGATATTGGATCATCAGCCAGAGTAAATAAAGTATAACCTGAGAAAGATGGGTAGGTAGATTGTCCAAAAGTGATGTAACACAAGCTGAAGATATTTTGAATTACCAGGCATACAGTCTGATTTAAATGGGAGTATTAAATATTCTTTGAAGGAGATTCTAATAAAACTTCCAAAATTGGGCCTACTGTTCGTTTGCTATTAATTTAGCATCAAAACAGACACAATTGAGGCCATTACATTATAATGCTATTCATCTCAAATTCCTCTTTTTGAACTCCAAGGTTCATGGGAGTTTCAGATATGAATCCACTTACCATTTAAACCAGTTATAAGAAGAATATCCGGGTAACATTGTGGCTTGACCTGTGAAACAAAAATAAAAGAGACACGAGATGAATGATAATCAGAGTACAGTGCAATCACATAAATGCAATAACTTTTTCTAGTAATTAACTTGCAGGAAGTAGTTATTATTAAACATTTGGGAAGATGACGGGGGTCATCAGCCACTTACATTATCAACAGGAGAATATGACTTCATGTAGAAATAATATTCTTCTTTACGAGGATCACCCCATTCCTGCAGCAACACAAGGAGATTACACTCATGCATACCCCCCCCCCCCCCCCCCCCCAAAACACAGACAAAAATGATGATGAAAATCACTAACCTAGTCCAAACCTGTAAAAGAATATGTACTATGGAGTAGTTGATAAGAGCTAAAACAGTAAAGAAGCTAACCTCCCACTCAGAAGTTGTTAGAGGAATAGTTGGGTCAAGCATTGTAGTTAAAACATCTACAAAAGGCACTTCAGCTACAGCTGCCTTAAATAAATCAGGACGCATAGTGAGCACAGCACCAATTAGCAATCCTCCAGCACTTCTACCATTGATGCAAAGCTTTTCTTTGTTGCAATATTTCTTTTCAATCAAGTGCTCTGCACAAGCAATAAAATCTGTGAAAGTATTTTTCTTCTTCAGCAGTTTCCCATTTTCGTACCATTGTCTCCCCATTTCACCACCCCCACGAATATGAGCAATTGCATAAATGAACCCTCGGTCCAACAAGGACAATCTTGATGCCTTAAAATAGGGATCAATGCAAACCTGTTCAGTAAGTGACATTTGCAAGTGTTATATGGATAAAGCAAATTTGTGGTACATTAAATCCTAAATAAATTAAATTCAAAGCCCTTCCGATTTCTTTTTTTCTTTTTAATTGAGCCTTCATATAAATGATGCAGAAATTTCACTATCAAGATACAGAAATAAGACTCAGAAAACTCACAATCACAACCCCATCAAAGAAAGAAACAGACAACTTTATTTGAAAACAGAGCAATAAGAAATTTTTGAATTACACTCAAGCAATAGTGCAATACCTCATATGACCCATAACCGTAAAGAAGAAGTGGATCTGAACCGTCAAGCTTCACAAGATTCTTCTTATAAGTAATTGATATAGGTATTTCAGTGCCATCTGAGGCAGTAGCCTGTTGCCTTTCAGTCACATAATTTGATGAATCAAATCCACCCAATACCTGAATCATAGGATACAATAAAGTATTATGACTGAACATATGAAAGTATGAAACTATAGAGAAATAAATCTTTCCTCTTTCTCTTAGGAAAAAAAGTCCAAAAGTACAAACAGCAACAGCCATTTAAATTGTTCCAAAAATCAACCATGTTTTGTGGAACTTCATAAACAGCTAAAAGAGTAGAAGTAAGATGCAAAACTGATTCAGGGATGCATCGGATGCAATGACTCAGCCATGTAGGATTTAAATGTTGTTAATTACAACTCACGATCATTCATGACCTCTCTAATAACTCACCGGATCAATCTTCTTCAAAACAGAAACTCCTGTGTCCATGTCATAGTCATATACAGAAGGAGGAGTTTTTAGGGAACTATAGAAAAACCTTAGGATGCTGGATGAAAACTGTGATTCTGATGGATCCACAGAGTATATTGGATCAACAAAATCAACGACCCTACCACCTCGAAGTTCTTCCAGTGGCTCCCCAGCAGCAGGAAGGCGATATACAGTTATTTTAGGCAGACCATTTTCACGCTCGTAAATAGCAAGATGGTCACTAAAAAGTTGCATTTCCTGGATCTTTATGCTGCAGAAAAGCTAATTATGATCACTGAATTGCTCCAAAGTATGAATATCTTGAGCATCATGGAAAACCGCTAACAAGTATAAAGTAAATTTTTGTTTTATATATGGGTAAAGTGATGTACGCAAAGTGGAGAGTGTTTTTCTAACCACCCCCCACCCCCCCCCCCCCCCCAAAAAGAAAAAAAAAAATCACACAAGACCCACTATGCTTATGATGACAAGAGACAAACACCCATCCATCATAATTTTAATATTGCCACTAAGATTTTTTAACAGTACTATATACAGACAGATGAAAAAACCCAACACTTAAAGCACTGTTAAAGATAAAAATAAGGTTGCTTCCTATATGTTACGAAAGTAAAGAGAAGATTTCTTAATATGCTGTCTAATAGAAAAGAGAATACAAAGTCCTAGCTAGAAGACTTCGAATAGGAAACAAGTTTCCATATGCCTACCTATCTAAATCCCTAAGACTGCCTAATCTATAGAGATCCATATATTAAATATATATTCCATAACACTATATAAGCATAAATGTTGAGTTATTACCTTGGCCTGTGAGGAAGAAGAACACTTGTTGCTGATATATTCTCCACAGGGCATGCAATCAATTCTGAGTTAAAACATTCATCACTCCTCCTCTGGATAAAAAAGTGATTTCCCCGATGACTAACATATGTTTCAATTCCATTTACCCGTTGTGTCAAAGCTAATAATCCATCATCAAGTTTTGAAATGTCTAGATAGAACACAAATCTTGTAGTTTTACTCTCGGATGCTACAAACATATATTTCTTGCTCTCAGATGCCCGAAGATCCAATGAAAATATGTCATTCTTTTCATGATAAAGGCAGGTGTCATGAGCTTGGTCTGTTCCCAACCTATGCAGCCACACCTACAAAATGTAATATCAACAAAAGAAATTTCATTTATAACTTTACCTAATAGGTCTTGAGTAATATAAAAATAAGTCTACCACAAAATAGAAAACTTTAATTTTGGCTCCTATGTAAGGGACATAAGAACTATGTAGAATTGTAGATTGAAACATCATCAACTGTGCACCTTGGCATATTTCTTTTTACCCCATAAATATAAAACATAAGTTTGAATGTGCAACTTAACGAGATTGCCCAAAAAAAAAAACAAAACAAAACAAGACAAAAAAAACAAAACAAAACAAAACAAAAAACAAAAAACAAAACAAAAACCATAAATAAATCAAAAAAAAAGGTAAAAATCACCATAAACTTTCTCAAATTAATTCTATCGGAAACTATGCACGCTTTATAGTTAAATTGGTCCCTTTTAAAAAATATTTGATGCTAGTTTGTTCAATTCTAGAAAGACACTCCTGAGGAAAAAAAAAATCTTTCATTTGCAAACTTGGAGATTAGGATCAATATGCTATGCCTTCACTGAAGAGATGTGTTAATAATTAAACTTGGAAACCAATGACTTCCAGCTCAAAGTTTTTCACCAAACACCATCTGTTGGACAACTAAAGCAAACCTCATATATAATGAAAACAAAAGATACAGACTAGAAAGAAATGTGATAGGGTTTTGTAGAAAAAAGTCACTTCATGGCATATTGGTCTAAGGCCAAAACCTGTACCTTGTCAGGCCGAAGAATTTCATCCATTGTGACATAAACTAGGGCCTCATCACCTGCCCACTCGAGTTCTGATGTCATATGAACAAGAGGCTCTCCAACTGGTGCTCGAGATTCAATGTCAATAATATGAACAGTATATATTTCATTTCCCACTGTATCTTCAGCATATGCAACCAACTTACCATTAGGACTTACCTGAGAAAAGGAAACTGTGAGGAAGACAGAGGTATAGAACCCAAAAAATAAAGCAGAAAGCCCAATAGAAGAGGATTAAAGCAACAAGTCCTTAATAGAAGAGGATTAAAGCAACAAGTCCTTACTTTAAAAGCACTAATAATATAAAATTCTTCGCCTTGAGCTTTAACATTCTCATCAAGGATTACGTGCTCTGGTGGGGCATCAGGTCCTGTAGGCATGGTATCATGAACAGATAATGAAGCTTCATGATTGGGTGCAAGGCGTCGACAGTGTTGGACATATTCCTTGCCTTGCAGCATCCTTTCGTAGTAGTAATAAGGCCCCCGTCTTATAGGTGCTGAAATGTCATCTTCCTTGATTCTTGCTCTTATCTCAGCATAAATCTCATCTTCCAATTGTTTTGTACCTAAAGAAGTCACCAAACTTTTTTTTAAACCATTATCCAGGATAAAACTTAAACAGAATCATTGAGGGTTAATTTGATGATCACACATAGTAATACAACTATACAAGACAATGCTATTATATCCTTCAATAGGTAACTCTTTGAAATTCAAATGTAGCATTAAAAATCATAACAAAATAATTGATTTCTAAAAGCTAAGAGGAGTTATCTCCAACTTTCCAAGCTCTTCTTCTTTTCCTTGCAACAACCTGAAGCTCAACTCCACAAATACTTCAATTTGTTTTCCTCATCCATAACCAATAACAATGTTTTATGCCACCAAATACTCTACACATATATTCCTTTACTTTTTGGAACAAATGCATTTCTTCCAATGAACTGGAAATATCAATGTTCTTTTCAGATTAGAAAATTAATAAAGGATTATGCTACACATCCCTAATTTTATCACTCACAAACCACCTCTCCATGGTGTGGCACAATCCTAGACATTAACAGAATTAAAATTAAAATTAAAAAAGAAAAACTAATGACTAAGATTTTGCCACATCATGGAGTGGTTGCTTTGTGAGTGGCAAAATTAGGGGTAATTAGCATTTTCCATTAATAAAACACAACAAATAATAATACATTAATACTAGACAATGATATTATATCATTCAATAGATAACTCTTTGAAATTCAAACGAAGCATTAAAACTCATAAGAACATAATTGATTTCTAAAAGCTAATAGGAGTTATCTCCAATCTCTTATTTTCCGTGCAACTAGCTGAAGCTCAACTCCACAAATACTTCAATTCGTTTTCCTCTTCCATAATCAATAACAAGTTTTACGCCACCAAATACTCTATGCAAATTTTTCTTTACTTTTTGTAACAAATGCGTTTCTTCCAATTAATCGGAAAGATCAATGTTCTTTTCAGATTAGAAAATGAATAAAACACAACAAATAAGATATCGAACAGAGGAACACACGGACCAGACATGACGCGATCAGTGTAGTCATTTTCCTCCTGGAGATAAGAGAGAACCTCAGGATCAGAGCGACGGTCGTCGCGGAGCCAGTAGTAGTTGTCGACTCTCACGTCGCCGAAAAGCTCCATCTCGTGCTTCACCTTCTTCGCCACCGGCGGAGTAGGTTTGCTAGCTGAAGCGTCGGTGCACATTGTTCGAGCAGAAAGTCTGATTGTGCTACAAATCCTCTTCGAGATTGAAGTAGGAGCAAGAGGACGGAGTAGAGGAGCACAGGAGGTTAATATACTGCTGCGTAGAGGTTGAAGCATTCTAGTATTTGGGACACAATCGCTTGCATTTCGGGGGTTAAAAAAATATGGGGGAGGAATTTTAATTTGTTTGAAAATTTGGGATCAAATCTGTAATTAGAAGAAAATCCACAGGATAACCGATTATCAATCATTGCTATGAAAATAAAATCCAATTTTACGTTTTCTCTTTTTTAATTTTTCAATATTGCACCTACTTTTAGTAAAATAATTAATTTATCAGTGAATTTTGACTTATTTAATCTTTATTAATTGTTTAATGATAATAAATTTTGACTTATTTAATCATTATTAATTGTTTAATTTAATTAAAAAATTAATATAAATTTTTAATTAATTAACTTTTTGTAACTCTAAATGTTACAATTCAAAAAGCTGTTTAAAGCAATTTTTTCAATTAGTTTTTTTTAAGTGAATAAATGATATCAAACAACTATCATTTAACCGTTAATTTATCAAACACATTTTTACAATCAACTAATATTTAATTAATCAGCAAACAATTAACAAACTAACAACTATCAACCATTTACCAAACAGGCTCAATATCTTTTTGGGACCAAAAAAAAAATATGTAATCACTGCTGAGAGTGTGCACTAGATAATTTTTTAGCGCGATAAGAACACCACTTGAGCACTCTTTTCAGGATAAAAAGATCAGGTAACCTAACTAGTCAACATATTGAAGCACAAAGGGAACCTGTGATTTCTTATTTAGAAGAATCACAATTATGTCACTTGACCATAAGGTCTTTGGCGAGTTGTTTTTACTTTAAATACATTGTGATCCACTTGATTCAAGTAGCTTAGAACTGACAAGAATCACAAGATGGTGGTGCCTCTTATTCAATGTTATTACAATAAACCAACAATGACAGAAAAGAATCTCATCATCAAAATTTGTACAATTCCAAGAACTGGCGAGAGTGCTCGCAGAATTCACAAGTGAAAACACAACTTTCCACTATTCATAGATCAGTAAAGTTCCAGTTAAAGAGCTTCTTTCTACTCCATAGAAATCAGCTTTTTTAGCCATAACCCTCCAGGGCCATATTCATCAATAAGATATCAATATCAGGTTGGAGGAAAACACCAAAGATTTGGCTACTGATGAACAATGCAGCATCAGAAGTAGCAATGGCTGAAGAAGTATCAACTTGAAGGCTTAGATGGAGTTGGAGACGACGGTGGCTTCAAATCTGGGTACTGAAATCCACATAGAGATAGATTAGATGCAACGGAAAACAGCACATGCAAGATGGGAAGGCGGGGGATTGGGGTATATATTGATACTTGCACAATCATTTGAGCTTCGAGTTTGATCTATAATGTTAGTATAGAGAAGAAGATGTAGAACTACGTAGTGAATAACATAGCCAAATCATCAAAAAAAAAATAAAATGAAAGCTTGTCAAATACATTGAATATGTAACTCAAAATAGGAAAGGTGCGGGCTAGAAACTTGAAACTGAAAGCAAAAGAAAAATGAAAGAAATAAAACAAATGAGGGATCCATAATCGGGATAGTTTTGATGGCTTTATGAAAATATACTAACAAGTTTTCATATTTGCCAGTGGCTGTGCAATTAATGTGGTTGTGATTTTTTTTTTCAGAGAAAGAAGAGTTCATACATTTGGATAAGGGGATAATGGCCGAGCAGCACTTCTTGTTTGAGAAGTGGGTTGAACGGGCTTTGAAACAGATCCATTGGTAATCTCTTCACTTCTTTTTACACTGGAATCCATATCTTCATCTGGCTGGCCACCGTTACCTTGCTGTTCTGACACTTTGGCTTTCTTCTTGGGGTAGACACGAACAGATAAAGGAAGAAGCGATTCTTGTATTTCCTACAACAAAACAAACATGTATATGATAAAATACTGCATATGAATATATATATATATATATATATATATATATATATATATATATATATATATATATATATATATAAGGTCAGGTTCCTGTGAGAACAGTCTTCCCGTGCGGTTTACACCATTAAGTATGCATAAATACACCACACAGTGTTCGAAAATACACCATTATGTGGTGCATTTTGTGGCATTTCATTCTGGTGTATTTTCGAACACTGTGTGGTGCACGATGATGATTGGTACACGACAGTCAAAAGCACTTCACACAATGAAAGGCCGAGGTATGAACTAAGCCACGAGGATACAAATCTTAAGATTCCTAGAAGTCTCCATCAAAAAGTTGTTGGCTTATAATGCAAAAGAGTATAGCAATAACAAGAAAATTTTTACATCAACTAACTCTCTTCTACCAGTGATCATACTTTCTCCTAAAGAGTTAATGCAGCACGTTGCAAGGTAATAAAACTGTTCCTAACTTAAATCCGTTTGAAGCTAGAGAAATCACCTGCCATCCTTTGTTGCCTCTTAGCCCACCCCGGATTGCATAGGCCTCTTTGAATCCATTTTTCACCAACAATTCAGCCACTTTGAGTGAGTTACCGTCAAAACTACCTTCCACATAGGAGTCAATACAATATTTGTCAAAATCCTCAAACATCTCAATCATCATTAAACACTACGTACTGCAATAGAAGACTAGATACAGATGTATAACCACTGCTGGAACAACAGATCTTCAACAAATCATACAGAGTAAATGATGGTAAATTGAAGATAAAGGCGAAACTGGTCCCTCTCTATGCCTCCCCATTCTCTTAGCCTTTTGTCCCCTTCCCCTTATTCCTTTAGTTGTTTGACATAAAGTTACAAAAACAGCACAAATGTTACTGTAAAATCCATTGCTTTGTCCCCCACTTAAGTTCAAAAAGTAATCATAACGGGGTGTTTGGTAAATAGATGTTGGCTAATAGCTGCTAGCTAATTGGGTTTGTGGGTTTGATTAGTTGATAGTATTGACTGATTGTAAAAAGATGTTTGGTAAATTAGTTGTTAGCTTATTATATGCAAAATGACTTTCTAAAAAAGCTAATCGAAAAAGTTTCTTTGAGCAGTTTTTTAAATTTTAGCATTTTGGAGCAATAAACTGTTATAAAAAACTAATTAACCAAACACTTATATTGGTTGTTTAACCAAGTCAAACAACTAATACTCTAATAGTGGTCAAATAAATCAAAATTAGCTGATAGGCTAACTATTTTACCAAACAGGGCCAAAGGGGATAACCCAACCAAGTTGGTCATGCCGTTGATTTGGTAACCACAAAGTTACAAGTTTGACTCTCGGAGGGAGCGGTCTATGGCTTTCTTGGTTTGATCCGGTCAATTATGGGCAACCTAAGCTGGTTTATCTCTTTGTGGTCATTTGCTGGTTAGGGTCACAGTGAGAAGTTTACTCGGGGCACGGTTAGTGGCTTGAACCACAAAGTTACAAGTTCGACTCTGGATTTACCCAGTGCACACTAGTGGCTTGAACTCAATGCATTCAATTAACACAGATTAAATATGCTATCCAATCAAATCAAATGTTCAAGCTATTCATGCAAGCATTATTGCATTCTTGTAACATATAATCCAGCCTGCAACTTTCATTACTGCAGGAACGTTTGCTAGCTATAAAAACTAGGGAATGAAGTTTGGCAAAACTTACTTGTCTACTATACAAACTGTTGTGTTCTCCGGCTCCCGAAAATTCTCCAGAACCTCCTTCACAAAAGCATCTTCATTTCCTTCAACAAAATGAACCTGCAGGGCAGTCTTCTTCAAGATTTTCAAATTGGGGGAACCCAAATAGGCCAAACTCCTCTTATCCCTAATATCCAACAGCTCACAACTGGGCTCATCCCGGAGCTTCTTAAACGCATTAATGGCAGAGATAAACTTGTATTTTTGCAAGTACTCTTCGGTGAGCGGGATTACCACGAGCCAAATGAACGTAACCCCGGCAACAAAAAAGGGGTACCTATTAAAGAACTCGTCAATTGAAACCAATACTGCTTCTAAGTTGATTTTAGCGGAGGCTTCTTCAGTGGGCACAGCGGTTTCGGAGGCAAAGCAAGAAAGAGG